GATAAACAAAGAATACCATAAAACATAACTTTGACTTTGTATTTACTGTTCCGCGATTAGCTGTGACCGTTGTGCTGTGACTGTGATTGGAACTAGAGAGGAAATTACGTTCTTCTCTCGGGAGCTCAGAAGCGTATGTAGGAAAAATGATACCGTGCGATTTGAAGAAGTTGCCAGTATTTGGTTCCTTGGAATCAAACTTCATCTCAAGAATTCATATGGCTATCTTGTTTGGTAATATGTACTTTATATTTGATATATTTTGCTTTAATAATGTATATGGGAAAGTTAACCTCGTTAATTAAACAGGTAACAACGGCGAACAAGCTTTAGTTGCAACAAAGGACAGAATGGTGTACGGAATAAGAAGCATCAGCAGTCGTTGTGATCATGGCAGTATTGATAAGAGCATTTCTTCTCCCCAGAAAATTGATGCATTGTGTGGAAAGCACATAAAAACTTTTGCTAAAAGCCAGAGTTTTATTTTGGCTCTGACTGAGGAGGGAGAGGTGCTTGAAACTTATATTATTGATAGATAAGGTCTAATATTGTCTAGTAACACTACCTGTTTACTAGGTCTATGTGGCATGTAGCCACAGTGATCCATCAGTTTGTAAATTTTCTGATCAAGATTTCACTTCAAAATTGAANAGATACTGGAATCGTAAGTGTATGACCAGTAGTGTTCAATTTTTTTTACAGAATCTAAAAAAAACATTGCATTTCATTAAGGTATATTCATGGACTCAAACCTCACGGGACAAAGTGTTATTTCCTAACTATGATACGAAATGCTATAGAATGAAAATTATTCATATTAGTTGTGGATATTCATTCACGGTAGTAGTTACAGATAATGGAGAAGTTCATTCGTGGGGCTCTAACACTAACGGTCAACTAGGCATTGGGAATTATATTATTAAAGATTATGACAAATGCAAAATCACGGGCCTTTCTGGAGTAGTGATAGGTAACATGAAAATCACGTAGATAACCAGAACTTAAGTATCACCTGTCAATTGTATCAAATTCATTTCGTAGAGAAAGTAGTTTGCGGATACGCACATACTTTGGCACTGAGTTCCAAGGGTTGTCTTTACGTTTGGGGATCTAATAACCACGGGCAACTCGGTATTAGTATTCAACAGACCAAAAGTATCGACCGAACAGCAAGCCTTCGCGAGCCACAGAAGGTAAATGCTCAGATTCATGGGTTTTACTTATACTAGAAATTAATGGACATTTCCATAGTTAGAAGTGCCGAAAATGGGGAGAGTGTACGACATAGCCGCGTGTTGGTGTCAGGACATAAGCGTAGCGATGGGTGAAGCTAATCGGATATTTATATGGGGCTATTGTCTGAACAAGGATATCGAAGTCCCAACCCTTACTCCTTTAAGATGTCTACACGACTCTTTCGCATTTTACAAAAGTAGAATAAACATTTGTCATTTGTTAATTGTCAACGATGAAAAAGAAACGAATGTAATGGGTGGCATGGAAGAAGCTTTCGATGATCCAGTACGTTATTATTGGGAGATATTAAGATTATTAAGCACTTACTGTTCTTTGCATGATCTTGCTATATAATTTGCAGAGCACCAGCGATTTAATTATTCAAGTACATGGGAAACCGATTCACGTGCATAAAGTAGTGCTGAAAGTACGGTCTCGTTATTTTAGGACCATGTTTCAAGAGCAATGGACGGAAAACAGTCAGAGGCAAGTTTTCTCGAAACGACCTATAGTAGTATAATAAATATAATTTTGACGTTTTGACTTTTTTTCAGCGTTATAGAGCACGAACAATTTTCCTACGACGTGTACAAAAGTTTCTTAAAATATTTGTACACTAACGAAGTCGACCTATGTCAAGAAGATGTATTAGGTATAACGTGCCTAACTCTTACGGACGTTGGTCAATATGTTTCATGAATTTTTTTTCTTGACAGAACTTTTAAACCTAGCTGATTTCTATTCCGCGGATCTATTAAAAA